CTATGTTGCCCAGGCTGGAATGCAGTGGTGTGATCTTGGCTCACTGCAACCTCTGCCTCCTGGGTTCAAGTGATTCTCTTGTCTCAGCCTTCTGAGCAGCTGGGATTACAGGTGAGCACCACCACGCCTGGCTAATTTTTTGTATTTTGAGTAGAGACAGGGTCTCACCATGTTGGCCAGGCTGGTCTGAAATTCCTGACCTCTAGTGATCTGCCCTCCTCGGCCTCTTGAAGTGCTGGGATTGGATGAAGTGATCCATCATGCCTGGCCATAGCTCTGATTTTTTTTTTTTTTTAAGAAGATGTGACTCTATTGATTAATGAAAATAAAATAGCATACTATTGCAGAAGAATATTTATTGACCTGTAAATATTTCATGATAATTGAAAAGAATGTTAAATGCAGGCCACAAAACAATCTTTAGTATAACCCTATTTGGAGGGAAAATGTAAAATAATAAGCCAGGAAATCTCATGCAAATAACATTTGGCTGGTGAGATTATAGGTCTTTTTTCTTTTATTCTCGTCTCCTCTCTTTTCTGTTTTTTATTTGTTTGTTTTTTGAGACAGAGTCTCACTGTCACCCAGGCTGTAGTGCAGTGGCGCAATCTCCGCTCACTGAAACCTTCACCTCCCAGGTTCAAGCGATTCTCCTGCCTCAGCCTCCCGAGTAGCTGGGATTACAGGCATGCGCCACCACACCTGGCTAATTTTTATATTTTTTAGTAGAGATGAGGTTTCACCATGTTGGGCGGACTGGTCTTGAACTCCTGACCTCAGGTGATCCGCCAAACTCAGTCTCCTAAAGTGCTGGGATTACAACCTCCTAAAGTGCTGGGATTATTGGCCAATGCGCCTGGCCAGTCTTTTTTCTTTTCTTCCTTTGGTTTACACAAATGTCTAATGTAGCTACATGAACTTGCATTTCTTTTATAATAAGAAAAATTGTTAATTCTTAAACCACAAGATCCGTGGTTACCAATTAGATAAAATGTTTCTCAGGAATTGGAACAGAGGCCGGGTAAGGTCTGGCAGGACCAGAGTTCTGTTGAGGGCTGGGGCAGTGCAACAGGAGGCTGGCACTGCCCCCTAAGCAGATGCTCTGAGCAATGGAGGAACTATGTGGGGCCCCAGCACCAGGGGGGCTAAAAGCTGGCAGGGCTGTCTGGTAGGACCTGGAGGGAGAAGCAACAAAGACAGACTTGTCAGTGTTGCTTTGTCCGGATGAAAAGTTTTAAAAGCACTAAAAACAGGAAAGTACTAAATGTTCATGCTAGACATCAAAATAATCAATTCTTTTCCCGCCTCATAAAGTTTTATTTCCTAGCAGATCCTGTAAATAAGTAAGAGAAAAATAACCAAAATGAAGAAAAGAATGATTTTTAAAACAGTGTTCTTGGGCTGGGAATGGTGGCTTACACCTGCAATCCCAACATTTTGGGAGGCCATGGCCAGGGAACTGCTTGAGGCCAGGAGTTAGAGGCCAGCCTGGGTAACGTAGAGAAACCCCCATCTCTTAAAAAAANAAAAAAAAAAAAAAAGCCAGGCATGGTGGCACACACCTGTAGTCCCAGCTACTCTGGAGGATGAGGTGGGAGGATCGCTTGAGCCCAAAAGGTCAAATCTGCAGTGAGCCCTGATCGTGCCATTGCACTCCAACCTGGGCAGCAGAGTGAGTCCCTGTCTCAAAACAAACAAACAACAACAACAAAACCCACCACACACACACACACACACACACACACACACACACACACACACACCAGTGTTTTTAAGCGTCTTTTGATTGGCCTAGAGGCACCTTTTGCTTCAGTCTTTGTTCATTTTTTTCTGTATTTTGTGTGGATGTTAATATACTACCTTTAGCAGAGGGAAGTCAGAAAGAACAGAAGCATTGAGTTCTTCCACCATTAAAATAGCTTCTAACAGCTGTATGTCTGCCCAGCTGAATTTGTTGCCAACAAGAAAATCCTCTCCATGTTCTTTCAAAATCTACAGAAAGAAAAATCATAAAGAATATCAGATGGCAGTAAAAAACATTTTGTGTGACTAAACACTTAAGAGCATGAAGCCTTTGTACTGATTAGATTTAATAAAGAATCTTAAAAAAAAAAAAATCTCTAGTGCTGGTAAGAATAGGAAGAAAACAACACTCTAACACATCCTGTAAACTGGCATAATTTTGGTGGGAAATTTTTCAGTGATTGTCAAGGCCTTTTGGGTGGTGAAATGCTGGCACTGGACTCCTGTTACAAACCTGGAGGTGGCTATGTAAAATTGTATCCACCAGTACAGAGAGACACAAAAGTCACAACTAGCTGAAGCCTGGTGGCTATGCCACCAATAGAAACAAGTAACCAATGTGATCCCAGAAGTCCAAATCAGAACCACATAGAAAGCTAATTTTTCACTATCCAGTGAAGAGTGAGTATTTAGAAATCTCTCGGGTGCATCTTTGAGTAGCAGATGCATTAAATTGAGTTTACTCCATAAATAAGGAGCAAAGGTAAATTCAGGTGCTACATCTCTTGCTGTGATACATGCAAGAAGAAAAATAAATGTAAGTGTGGATGGGGAAAAATTGCCAGAATCAGTGAATTCTATAGTATCTTACGTAAGGCAAAGATAAAAACACTTGATGGGATATATCAAATAAATGAAATGGGACTTCTGCTAAAGATAAACTCACAATTAAAAATTACACAGCATATAACAAAATCCAAGTCTTTTCGAGACAGAGGCAACAGGCTTACAGAAAAGGAGAATTTTGAGCCACAGAGCCAAAAATAAGAGTTGATTCTATAAAAGCTTAAAAATATTTTTAAATGTTCAAAGAGATAATAAAAAGGTGTAGGTGAGCAACGACTACCTGGGCTGGTGTCATAATGTTACTTAAAGGATAAAAACAAGGACAAAAAGAAAAATTGATTTATTATTCCCCTTTGAAGATACTAGATAATTCATTTTTTTTAAAGCGGTCAATCAAGTATTTGTCCTCTTTTCCTGTATAAACTACAAACCAGAGAAGTCAAATATCTTATGAGGGGAAGATTCGTCTTATAAAAACTATTCAAGCTAATAAATGAAGAGGGACTGGCAAGGTTAGGACATCACCATGTTGCATCTACTCATAAATGGATGTATCTAGGCGCTGATCATCAACTGCATGATTATCATAAGAGCAACAACCAGGCAATTTGTTTGCTGATGACCTACACAGCACCACCTGTGAAACAATCCGGCCAAAATAATTGAGCCTGACCCTGATCAAGCTTCTACTTCTAACTTCCAATTGATAGGTAAGCAGGAGTATGCTACAGTGAGTAAAAGCCAGACCACAGGAAACTCTAGGGTGCAAGATAAATGCAAGAGGAAAAAAGGGAAGAGAGAGAACTCAAATAATCATCTTACTTATCTTAAACAAAAGGCATTGCAACAACACTGTACATTGTCTTTGGGTAACCTGGAGCTTGCTTATCTAGTACTCTAAAGCACTGACCGAATAATTCATTATAATTTAATCAATAACAAGTTGTTCTTTTCCAAGGCCAAGACTGAGGACATATGCATACAATTCTTTCATCTAGCAGAAACTTATGAAACCTTGTGCTAAGAAGTGTTAGCGTTTTCCATGTTGCCAGATGTATTATGAGGACATTTGTTGTTAGTATTTACTCCAAAATGACCACAAATTTTCCCTTTAAGAGACTTTGTCTTATGGAAGGGTGTGGTGGCTCGTGCCTGTAAATCCCTGCACTTTGGGAGGCCGAGGTGGGTGGATCGCTTGAGGTCAGGAGTTTGAGACTGAGGCCAACATGGTAAAACCCTGTGTCTATAAAAGTACAAAAATTATCTAGGCGTGGTGACACATGCCTGTAGTCCCAGCTACTCGGGAGGCTGAGGCAGGAGAATTTGTTGAACTTGGGAGGCAGAGGTTGCAGTGAGCCAAGATCACACCACTGCACTCACGCCTGGGCAACAGAGTGAGACTCTGTCTTAAAAAAAAAAAAAAGAGAGAGAGAGAGAGAGACAGACTTTGTCTTTTGATTGAGGCACAATTAGCCTCTATTATTAGACCTAAAAAAATACCTGACACAACTAAAGCCCAAGACATCACACCTTGGGCTGATGTCTTAATTTAAAAGTCAGAACAGAAATGCTGTATACTTTCATTGTACTTGGTATAGTCCAACTTCATTTTGTTGAAGGTTCCATAATTTTACCTGTAATTTGTTCTAGAATCCTTTTTAAAGTTTTGATTTGGATCAGTAAAGCTCTAACATGGCCTTTGACTGTATTTTCAGATATTCACTCTTGAAATATTCTCAGCAACAAAAAATGTCAAAGCTCCGGATCCCTGAAGCCTACCTTTTCAAAGACAGGGAAGTACCGGGTTTTTGCTTTCTGGAGGATGGAAGCAAGGGTCTCCTGTTTCTTCTCAGGGCGCTGGAAGGGGGCCAGCATTATCATTGTCATCAGGTCCAGGGTGCCATCAACGTACATGTCGATCCTGATAAAACAACCATTTGACCCTCAGGCAGAGAGGAGCTTTTGAGTACAGGGTTCCTAGTCCAACACTTCTCTGGTATAAATAGATGAAGGAGCAAACGATTTTTATTTTTCCTCTTAAGCTTCCACTCTCATAAATGATTTCTAGCATCAGAACCAGCCAAGTGCCCAGGATATAGTAGTCTCTAGAAATGGTTATTGAATAAAAGGATGTATGAAAGAATTCTTGAATGCCCTTAAGTTGAAATCTGCCATAAACAAATAATTGATTATCATGGCTTTAAAAACTAAACTCAGTGCAGTTTATTAAAACTACAAAACAATTAGTACAGGACATTCTTGCTTATTTAGAGAAGACAGATAATTTAACAGGTCTTCTGTTGACCTGGTAACGGAGAAAGAAAAGTTCAATTTCCTAGTCAGGTCAAACAGATGTATTTCTTTTCCTTTAAAGTTTTCCTTTCATTGCCAAGCACTAAATAAATAAATAAACAAACAAATCATAGTATTTATATTGTCATTATTTACTGGCCTATTACTACATTCACGCTGTGCTACTTATCTCTTCAAGGATGTCTTTGTATTCCCCATTACATGCTAATTGCTTAATGAATTTGTTTTAATGGCCTTCTGAGATCTTTGTCTTTCTTTTTAACAGCATATAAAGAATAATGGAACCAGGCTCAGTGGCATATCTATGGCTCAACTATAGCTCAACCATATGGGAGGCTGAGACAGGAGGACTGCCTGAGCCCAGCAGTTTGAGTCTGGCCTGGGCAACATAGTGAAGCCCCATCTCATTAAAAAAAAAAAAAAAAAAAAAAAATGCCTGGCATGGTGGCTCACACCTGTAATCCCAGCACTTTTTGGGAGGCCAAAATGGGTGGAATCACTTGAGGCCAGGAGTTTGAGACCAGTCTGGTCAACACGGTGAAACCTGTCTCTACCAAAAGTACAAAAATCAGCAAGGCATAGTGGTGCGTGCCTATAGTCCCAGCTACTTGGGAGAGTGAGGCAGGAAAATCACTTGAACCCAGGAGGCAGAGGTTGCAATGAGCTGAGATCACGCTACTACACTGTAGGGTGAGCAACAGAGTCTGACTCTGCCTCAAAAAAAAAAAAAAGAAAAGAAAAAAAGAAAAAGAAAAAAATTTAATAATATCCTTTTATTGTCCTGTGTGAATGACAGATAATTTTTCTTTCATGTTAGTGTCACCTAGCCCACTTGCTTTAGTCTACTATAGTTTATGGCTAACCTAAAGAAAAATAATACTAACAACACCATCTCAGGATGCATCTCAGAAAAAAACATGGTGATTTTTAAAGACCAATTAAAAACTTTGCATCAAATCAATAGGAAACAGACTGCATTTGTGCATTAGTATTTATTTACAAAAGGATCATATTCACACACTGTTTGACATTGCTTCTCTTGCCATATACATTCGGAATTACAGGTTGGAATGACTAACCCTGTTTTAAAGATGAAGCAATGGAAAAGTTGGGGTGAGCTGCTACTTGTTAATGGACCTTGCTCATTCCTATGTTCTTTCTACTTTTTCTGAACAGTTGAGCCTGAGCTCCTCCCACCGCGTCTTCTGTGTATACGGATCACCCCCACTGTGTCCATGCTTATGGTAATAACTGTTTAGGGGCCTCTGAAAAGGCCCCATGACCCCAAATGCAGGCAAGAGTTTATAGTTGCAAGTCTTTATTTTGTCTTAAGTCTAGTTATTTTTTATGAAATTAAACTATCCCGGTGAATAATTACCCAATCATTTTCTGCCAGGCCTGGCACAGTGCACAGCACGGCATAGATGTTCATGGTATACAGAGGCCAAAAAATGGCCAAAAACCTTCACCCTCCCATATTTGTGATGAAACGTGGCAGCTCCTTCCATCAATAGATGGGGTCTATTTCCCAGTCTATTTGTGGCTTCCTTTATTGAGTAGAATGAGGTAGAAATGATGAGGTGCCAGTTCTGAATGCAGAACTTAGGAGGCCTGTGTGCTTTCACTCTCATGCTCAGAACTCTGCCTCACTGCTATGAGAACAAGCTCAGAATGACAGGATGAGAAACGCATGGTCCATTCATATCCCAGTTGATAGTCAGCCAACAACCACAACCAGAGCTGCCCAGCTAACTACAGATATCAGTGTTGTGCAGCCTAGCAAAGTCAAGCTTGGTCCAGAGAGGCCAGCCAGATACTTGCTCACCCATAAACAGGTGAGCAATAACAAAAGCTTGCTGATTCAAATCACTGTGTTTCAAGGTGATATGTTTTAGAGCATTTTTTTATAGTCAATAGATCATTGATACAATGCTCAATATGTGTGTGATGAATCAGTCATTTCCACCTTCATGTAGAATAGCTTACCAGTTTATTTTCTACGAACATATTTTGTTAGGAGTGGAGAGAGAACATGAGAAGTTGAATGCAGCCTTCAGTGAACTATGAGTAGTATACAGAAAAGGAGGAGTGTAGTTAATAAGTGCAGTTACTTATTAAGAATAAGTACAAGGTGGCCGGGCGCTGTGGCTCATGCCTATAATTCCAGCACTTTGGGAGACCAAGGCAGGTGGATAGCTTGAGGCCGGGAGTTCTAAACCAGCCTGGCCAACATAGCATAACCTGTCTCTACTAAAAATACAAAAATTAACTGGGCATGGTGGTGCACACCTGTGGTCCCAGCTACTCAGGAGGCTGACGCATGAGAATTGCTTGAACCAAGGAGGCGGTGGTTGCAGTGAGCCGAGATCATGCCACTGCACTCCATCCTGGGCAACAGAGTGCTACTCTGTCTCAAAAAAAGAGAAATGAGTAAGTACAAGGCATGCCAGGTCTAGCAAGCCATTTCCCCTTTGTTCCATTTGTCATTTTTCCTCAATCCAGGCTGAAAGGTACACTTGAACCAGGTCTCCGTTGGTGAAGAACTGAAAAAGCTTGGCTAAGAATCAAGCAGAGGCATGAACACTATGGTACCTGACTCTTTCCTTCAGATCCTTCCCATAGAAGTTGAACTTTGCAGCAAGATAGCTGAGGATGGCTCTAGTCTGTGTCAGCATCATTCCATCCACTTCAACCAAAGGCACTTGGCCGAAAAGCAGGCGTCCATCTGTGGTTTGAGCAAAGAGAGGTTAAGATATGTTGTTCAGTGGTTGCAGTAAATCTAAGAATGGTTTACTTCTATCTGTGATTTTTAGATTCTATCTAAAGGGATGAAGGCTACCCTTCATCCCTTTAGATAGAATTTAGTTGTTGAGGAGATGGCTACCATTTGCTTCATGTAAAATCTGAGATGCATTTGGCAGTCTCATATATTTTGGTGTGATGGTTAACATAATTATTTAAGATTTTCCATTTTACTATGTTATAGTATAAGTGCTTCTGGTTCTCAAAGTTGAAAGAGTTGACTGGGTGCAGCAGCTCACACTTGTAATTCCAGCACTTTGGGAGGCTGAGGTGGGCGGATCACTTGTGGTCAGGAGTTCGAGAGATGAGCCTGGCCAACATGGTGGGCAGTTGGGCGGTGGGGGTGTGGGGGTGTGTGGGGGGGACTTGGCAGGGATAGGAGGATTCTTAAAGGATTCTTCAGTGAGAGGGGGAGAATTAAACCAAATTAGCACTGACACATAAAATTTTCATTCAATCCTCTTAACCAAGGTCACCATCATGACCTATTTGGTAAGAGTTTCTAAAGACTAATCGGAGTGGCCTTTGCTGACGCAAATTAAGCTGCGTGTCAGGGACATGACGAACAGTTAATCAATATTAGCAGTCATGCTATGTGCTTGCCTTTTCTAATAGTAGCCATTCTAGAGCTCCGTCTCTTTTACCAAAACAAGTACTTCCCGAAGCAGGTTTCCATTTTTCTCTAAGAAGATAATATTGAGTAAATCTAGGCTTACCCCTCTGCAACTTTTCATATTGTTCTCTTGTTTCAAGAAATTCTTCTTCAAACTAAAAAAAAGATAAAGAGACATTATTACAACTTTAAAGTCCTCAAGAATACAGAGATTTTGTTTTTTCTTTTTTTTTTATTTTTGCTCCCATTCCTCTTTCCTTTTCTTCACCTAAGTTCTTCCCTCCTTCTAAACTCATGTCCTTTCTCCAAATTTCTCAATGATTTTTTTTCCTTTCTCTTTCTTCTTCCTCTTCTGCTATTCTCCCTTCATATAAGGACAAGTCAAATTTCTCTTTAATGCTCATATATTCAAAGAAAGGAAGCCAAAGACCATGACTCAGGTGAGGTTTATTTCGTGATTTATTGATGATGTTTCTAAAACTTTTGTGAGAAACACCGATGTTTTTTCATCCCCCCCAAACCTTCAGATGTGGGTGAGCAATGTAAGGGAGATATCCCTAAAAGGTTACAGAGAAAATCAGACAAGGTAATGAGTCCTAGCTCTAGAGGAGCTGGCATTCAGATAGGGAAAAGCAGGCATACACCTGCATAAAACAATTCCAAGGCACTTGTGAAAAATCTGTGGAAAAGTCAGTGCGGAGGGAACTCTGAATTAAGGAAAGATCCCAGGGGGTAGATCTTTTAGGGAGGAGTTAAGGAGTTTAGCCAGATTGCAGCTGGGCCTAACATCCCTGCTGGCAGCCATGAGTATTACAGGACTGGGTTCCGGAGGCAGAGCTGAAAGGCCCCAGAAAATCAGCCAATCCCAATGGAGAGAACGAGGCACATGTGGGTCTCCTCTCTCTTCTTTGTCTCGTGATCCATGAAAATCTTTTCAGCCCCTATGAAACTTCCAGAACACCACCACCCCCCACAGCTCCCCAAATTATCCCTAATCCTATGATTCCCTCCCTCACCTCTTGCAAAGGAAAACAATTGGAAAGGAAATTATAGATACAGCTGGAGGCACCACTCCGAAGCTTGAAGGGGAAAGGAGACCACTTCATTCCCACCCAGATTACCATCCTTCCCCATCCCAGTCAGGAACCAACCTCCACTCCAGCTGCAGCCAGCAGCCAGCGGATGGACTCCATCCTGCCCCTGCCATCAAAGTAGTAGAGCTTGGGTTTGGCTGCCATGATTCCTGGCTCAGAGTTTTCTAAAGGATTAAAAAAAAAAAAAGAATTAAACAATTTACTGACAAGCCATATGGTATGTCCCTATTTATAGTAATTCCAAAACAGGTAAAGCAAAACTATTGCTGAGGGATGCACACATAGGAGGTAAAAAATGAAAAAAAGCAAGAAAATAATTACCAAGGAAGCAGAATAATGGTTACTTCTAGTGAGGAGAATGGGGTTGTTATTGGGGAGGAGCATTTAAGATTTCTGGGATGCCAACAATGTTCCATTTCATAAGCAGAATCAGTGGTCTTTATAATTAGTCTTAAAATTGCACAGAAATGCATTTGCACCCTACTCTACAGATGGTTTAGCTCACAATTTAAGAAAAAGGAGAGAACAAATGATGTATATTGTTGTTTTTTTTTTTAAAGAAAAAACTCAAATCATATTTTTCCTCTGCTGGAAACACACACAAAAAAACAATCCACACAGAAGAGTTTTGTGACCCCAAAATATGTGGGGGTTTCTCCCCACTGGCAGGCAAGCAATTAATTCTGCAGCAGACACCAGCTGAGTGTCCTTCAATTTAATTCCAACACTATCCACCTGAAGATAGCATCAGATCCCGGAGAGTGAGGACTCTGTCCTCAAACTGCCTCCCTTTCAGACACCAGTCATAAGTTGGGCCTCCAGAACTTCTGACCAATCATCTTCAAGTTGGGATTCCCACAACCCTCTCTTTGGGTTTTAATTAATTTGCTGGAGCTTCTCACAGAACTCAAAAAAACCCTTAAGCATACCAGTTTATTAAAAGGCTGTCACCAACGATATAGATGAAGAGACACATAGGGTGAGGTGCGGGAAGAGACACAGAGCTTCCACGTCCTCCCCAGGAGCGCCACCCTCCAGGAACCTTTACCGGTTCAGCTGTCCACAAACTCCTGGAATCCCATCCTGGTTTTTTATTGGGCTTCATTACGTAGGCATGATTGATTAAGCCATAGTCCTTCTTCCCTATAGAGGTTGGGGGTTGGAGCTGAAAGTCCCAACCCTTTAACCTCGACTTTGTCCTTCCAGCTGACCAGCCCCATCCTGCAGCCTCAGTCAACATTAGCATACAGAAGACAGCACTGTGGGGTTCCAAGAATTTAGGAGTTGTATGTTGGGAAATACTAAGTTTATGAATATTGATGAATACTGAGTGTGTGATAGAATATGTAGTTTGTTAGGAAGAACGATGGCAGAGAAAACACCCCCCCAAGTGGAAAGCCACTTGGGGCATTCCATAGTGGCAGGACAATGTATAAATATCATACACCAGTTAAACAATTCTTGGAAATATCTGACCCTGCCCCTGTGGCTCCCTCGTAGAGAATACGTTTTAGTTTGTCTGTAATCAGTGATAAGCGGGTAACAGCTGCCTACCTAGCATATTTTTGTGTTATGAGAAAATACAGAACACCTGTTTGGTAATAATAATCACCTGTTGCTAGAGAATACATGGCTCAGAATCTGCTCGGGGCCTTCAGCCTGGAATGCTGTCAGCCCCTGAGGCTCTCAGTTTGGAAGGCTGCCAGCCCCTCCCCCCAATAGACCCACTTTGCTGTTCTGAGTGTCTGCCTGTCATTGCCTTCAGTGCTGCTGGGTGGGGGTCTCTCCGACCGAGCTGGTACTCGGTAGTTGTATGTAAGAAAAGCAGAAGAACACCAAATATGTATTTCACAATACCACAGTCCACCCTCCCCCACCTTTGAAACCCAATCTTATATTAAAAGAACATACAACTCAAAAGGTATTGCCATATTACTAGAGTCCCATTCAATCAGTAATTATTAGTTGTTATTGTACTAATGTCCCCAGAGTGAGGTCACTCAGGTTTGCAGATTTCCTTTCATTTAGTTCCAAAAGTAGGAGCAAACAGAGCTGCACCCTTTCAGACAGCCGTTATAATTGAGCTATGAGACCCATCATCCCTCTCTCTGAGCCCCTTTCAAGGTGTTAGTGCAATGTTGGATTTCTCTCCATTTATAACCCACTTATTCATTCCTTTATGCTCAGCTACTTCTCCCCCTCTCCATTGATGACAAAGCTTTTTCACCTTTGGGAGGAACATTAGAATCTCCACTGTGCTGGTCCAGATTGCAGGCAGCAATACTAGTCTAGCAAGTACCTCCTCCTCAGTCCACTGCCATTCAGGTGGATTGCAGTTACATAGGTACAGAACTAGTGAGCTATTTCTACTACCAGGCATAGCTGCATTCATTCGGCCCCAATATTGCTAGACGCAATGAAGGCGCAACACTTCCCCATCAGGCCCTTAGGAATTCTGACACAAGGTCTGAAAACCACTGACAGTTTCTTGCTTAGAAATCCCTGCTTCCAGCACTAGTAGTTGCAGCCCCAGTCCTATGACCATCGCCTCAGATAGGTGAGAAGAAAAATGTTTTTGAGATGGTTTGGAAAACACAGAAAAAATTATGGTCATTATGCAAGTGTACTCTTCCCTTGGCAAAAAATACATAGGCATGTCACTGAAATGGGGGTTAGTTGCCACGTGTAGAGTCCAATCAAACAAGAGCGAGATCTGATACCAAAAAAGGTGAACTTATTCCGAAGCTAGCTGGGGAAAGAGGTGCAGATGTCCTGCTGTGCCGCCTCACTTTGGGGCAGGAAGCACGCACCTTTTTAAGGTAAGGGAGGAAATGAGCAAGGGCAGCGGAGGGTCCTGCTAGTGTGGTGTCTTACCTATTAGACAGCTGAGTTGGCAACTTCTGGGGCAGAAGCAAGTTGTAAAAGTGGCCAAGTGGGCATGATGTGCCCTCCTGGTGGATAAAAGTTCCAAGGCAATCCCTAGAGGTGAAAGTTCTGTGGTGGGTATGCTTTGGTCTACAAATTGTCAACACATAGGAGAGCTCTGTCTTGAAGCACACAGTTAGAAGAACTTGCCCTGAAGGAATGTCTGGTCAAGTGGGAGTGAAAGGTTATATTTGCATTTCTGAAGGGCTAAGCAGGAAACGGGGAGCCCAAGGCAAAGAACAAAGAAAGAGAGAAAAAGAAATAATTAAACCACCGGGTGGTGTGGTGTGGTGGCTCACGTCTACCTAGTAATCCTAGCACTTGAGGAGGACGAGGCGGGTGGATCACAGGTCAGGAGTTTGAGACCAGCCTGGCCAACGTGGTGAAACCCCATCTCTACTGAAAATACAAAAATTAGCCTGGGCGTGGTAGGCACACCTGTAATCCCAGCTATTCAGGAGGCTGAGGCAGAAGAATCACTTGAACCCGAGGGGTAGAGATTGTGTAGCAGGAAAGGCCGCGGGAAACAGATCTCCTGAATGCTGAATACAGGAGGAAGGAGTTTATTCGACTGGGAGCCTGAGCATAATTTGTCCAAAGCTCAGCTCATCTAAAAAAGGAAGGTTCTGCCTTTATATAGGCTTTCACTTTAGATATTACACGTGGAAGAATCTTAGGTTTATAGCTTTAGAAATAACATATGAATAGGGTCTTGGTTTACAGCTTCAGGAATCACATATGAAAGGGTTGTGGTTTATAGTTTTAGAATTCACATGTGAAAAGATTTCTGTTTACAGTTTCAGGAATCGCATATGAAAGGGTTCCGGTTTACAGTTTTAGGACTCACATGTGAAAAGGTTACAGTTTCAGGAATCACATATGAAAGGGTTCTGGCTTATAGCTTTAGGACTCACATGTGAAAAGGTTTTGGTTTACAGTTTGAGGAATCACATATGAAAGGGTTCCGGTTTGCAGTTTTAGGACTCACACGTGAAAAGGTTTCTGGTTTGATCTTGTTTTATGTAAAAATAGTGCCTTCTGGAGAGTTTCCCCAAGACCAAGCCTGCCACCTACAGGAAGGTGAAACAGGAGGCACCAGTTGGTCAGCCTTTTCTTCTACTGAAATGCAGTGTGATAGTCAAAGGGGAAGTTGATCTGAGATGGCTGGGTCTCCCTCTTCCGTCGCAGTGAACCAAGATCATGCCACTGCACTCCAGCCTGGGTGACAGAGCAAGACTCTGTCTCAAAAATAAATAAATATAATAATAATGATAATAATAATAATTAAACCACTTCTGGGAAAGTGAAGGCACTTGGTTACAGTCATACCAGCATCCTCCCCCGCCCCACCAGATCAAAGAGAAAAACCTAGTGCGGACACTCCTTTAGTCCCACTCATGTTGAGTGTGAGCTCACACTTGTGAAGACATGTAAGCCAGCCCTTCATGTCTTTATTTCCTTGTTTTAGACAACCAATGTTTTAATTGCCCCTTCCACTTCTCTATCAAAGTCTTAGTCTTACATTATGGGCTGTACAGTGTATTCCTTGGTCTGAAGAAATGACTCTGACCATCCAAATCCATGCAATATTTTCCGTTCTGTTTTTTTTTTAATGGCACTCTGAGTATTTTCGTCTTCCACTGAATAACCAAAGCCCACTCCAGGGTTAGTATTTTTTCTTGTCAAGACCCATTTGTAGCCCCCCAGGGCTACTAGCATCAGTCTCACTTAGCTGTGTCCAGGGCATTCCCACCAGGGAATCTGCCCCATAGTCATCCACAGTCTCTGCCTCTCTTGCTGATAAACAGAACAGTTCTTATTAGCATCGTGTGCCTGAGAGGGTAGAAGAACATGTCTAGATTCAACCCATCTCTGCACTGCTACAGTACCACCATAGCCACTCATTTCATGGCCCCAGGTAGGTGGCTACCTCAAGGGAACACATAGCAATATCTATTTGTCAATTCCAACCCCTTCCAAACCTGGAAGGGAGTTCTTCTAATGGGCATTGACTTATTCTACTTGAATGCACCCCTCACATTCCAGAGGGCCACGCCCCACATGAGCATCCTTTTCATCGTCCTGGTTTCCATTGCAGTCTTGCCGGCGTGTATGGCTAGGCCATTTGGTCACTGCTTGTGAGTCAGTAAAAACCAAACACAGAGGCTTCCACCGCTGTTCAATTCTTCCATCACTGTTAGGAAAACAACAGGCAATCAGCCCACTGGGCGGATCCGTT